AATTTTTGTAACAGTTTTGTGAATTAAGTTAAATTAGTACAAAGGTCAGGTCATTCACAGAGATTAGATTTGAGATATGATCTTCACGAGGCGAAATTCCTTTTTTTAATTATATTGTGTGTTTTCTGTTTCTTTTAAATCATACTAACACGCGAAACGTTATTTTAACATAATGCTTCATTCAAATATTTTGTTTAGCAACGAACAGCTAAACATAAATAAAATGTGTCCTTTATAAGTTCACGAACAGATAAAGCTACTACTGGCAGTAGTATCAAATGGAAGTAGCTACGAAGAGCTAATTTGGGTGCAATACGATGTTGGAAGTAGCTATAACTATTCCTATAACAGTGACATTACCATCTTGTCTGTTTAGCTTCTTGGATACTTCCATTGTATGCGTTGAATAGTATGGCGATAACACAAATTTCCTAAAGCAAATCTATGAAAATATATATGAATAAAATCTGTTCTAAGAGATTAGATTATATTTGAAAAAGTATCATTAAGCAATAGACAGGATCAAAAAACTCTATGTAATACGTTTCTGTAATCCAACAAATGGTAGACGGACTCACAGCAAAATTTGCTGTGAGTCCGTCTACCATTTGTTGGATTACAGAGACGTATTACATAGAGATCTAATATACAGTAATCCAGTTATATAGTGAAGGATTAAAGATGTTTTTATTATATAACTTTTTAAATAAGGTTTACAGGTTTGATTTTAATTAACAAAATATAACTTTTTGTTTAGATTAACGAAATAATATAATGAACAACATAACGTTTATATATTTTTATGAGTCCATTTTTTACTTTGTTTACTTTTTTGGCTCCGTCAGCTCTGTTGGCACCAACAGTTCCTTTATTGCTCTACTACAGTGATTTAAAGACGCCACCTGTCATATCCATGACAGAAAAATCATGAAAAATTCAATTACTCTATTGGGTTCGAACTCGGATTCCATAAAGGAAAAATGCTGCCGTCTAAATTTTCTAGACCGTAAGTATTTTAAATGTTTACATTTATAATCTTAAACTTTCGATTTTTAGTTAAACAAAAGTGAGTTCTATTTCTAATCACCAGAAATTTATTGGAGATTATACAAGGTAATATCTGATATCTTGTTACGAATAACTTCATATTGTTGTGAATTAATCAAGAGAATAAATGTTTCGTTGCTAACATTTTCAATTACCAAACCAACAATACTTTCATTTTCCTCAAATTTAAATTCTCTTCTCACATTTTCAGGAAATTTCTTGTTTTTAATGATATATTTCATCGTGTAATATGATTCTGTTTCGTAGCAATAAATGCCAGAGAAAGAAATCTGTTTAAAAGAAATCTTTCCTGCCAACATCATGTCAATCAGTTTCTGAATTTCTTTACGAAAATCATAATAATGTAATATTCTTGCATAAAAGTTTAAATCAAGAAATATGAAAATCAGTATTGTAGAATATGTGCAGGAGCTGTAAAAATTCAGCAGTTTTTCCTCTATGGCTTTATACTTTTCCTGTTCTTTTGGTAATTTTAATACGAAGTTAGTGAATTTACATTCCTTTAAGAAATTCAGAATCCATTCTGAATATTCTGGATCAAAGTTTATATTTATATTCGAGCAAAGTTCTTTCCAGTTATTCTCACTTAATTCTCTATTAGCATCCATCAGGAAGTTCCAGTAGAATGTTCTACATTTGAAAACATTTTCCAAACCATATGGTAACTGAGATTTGTTTACGAAAGATAATATAAAAATCAGCATTGTGTTTGATATAAATCCACAATAGAATGGATATTGCTCACATTTATAAATATACAATGCAACGAGAAATTCGTATAATGTTCTGTGTACCAAGTCGTAAGTAATATCACCATCTGTTGATACCGAGTAAACGGAAAGAATATGAAGTTTACGAATAAAGACTACTTCTTCTTCACTGAAATTCGCTTTTAACGTATCGCGTTTTAAAGGATAAGATTTGAGTAACTGTCCTAATTTGACTAATATATTTTCACCTATAAAGGTTTCACCATGTTTTAAAACCTTATTCATTAAATCACTGTTTTCTTGTAAGCATTTCTCTATTAACATTTTAAATAATTTAACATAAAACTTCGCCATCTTTTGCACCTGAAGATTTTCGCTATTAAACGCGCAGCAAATAAGATGCAGCATCAATGGACATTCAGCTAAATTACGCAAATAATCATGAATTTTTAACTGTTGTATAAGACTTCTGTACTCGACATCATTGTTCTCTAGAAGCAACTTTACGTAAGTCTCTTGTTGTTTCGGAGAAAACCCACGAATGCAATATCTGGAATCGATATATTTACGAATTTCTTCGACATTATGTGAACGACTGGTGATTAATATGGTCATGTGCTGAGAAATTTCCACCGAGTCTGCATCGAGAAATTTCACTATGGCAGATTTATTTGGATACTCATCAAAGCCATCAAGAAGCAGGAGGAGGTTAAATTCGAAAGTATTAGATAAAGATTTAACTTCTGGGTCATGTAAAATGGCGTCTTTAATCCCTTCGTATTGAATTTCTTTGGAAGTATCGCATAAATTAAAGAGGACAACAGAAGAGAAGTAATTTAAATAATTATTTCTCTTCCCTTCTGTTTTCCAATCATGATCAATTTTCTTGCAAATGGTAGTTTTCCCGTAACCTGGTTCTCCGGTGAGAAGGATTGTTCGATGTCCATTTTTCTTTGTAAACATTTCTTCTATTGTGACGTTTTTAACCTTATTTTTTCCAAAGGAATCAGTTTCTTCGATTTGTAACATTACAAAATATTCATCAATTGGCTCATTATTGACATTAAACAAGAACATATTCTTATAGGAATGTAGTCTCTTGCTGTTTTCCATTCGGTTTACATGAGAATCTCCTATAAAAATAAAATACATTCATATAAAATTATTTAAAACTTTAAATATAAATTTTAGGTTGATAAGAAGTATAAGAATTAATTGAAAAGTCAAAAAGTCATGGAAAGTTTAAAATGTTTTGTAGTTTTCTGAATTGCATATTGTTTTATTCAATTTGAATAAAATTAATGACAGGAAAGTAACACTTCCTACCACTTAGTGAAGGGTAAAGACGAAAAGTTAATTATTGGGAAAGGTACATAGAATACTGATAAATAGTCTGAATCTTATTGAAGAATAACATAAGTGTCCATTTTATTAATTATAATGTTTGGGTGGTATTCTATGTTTTTTATACATTTGTGCAGAGATTTAGATACATCTACTTCTCTAAATATGTTATAAAACTCTCAAAAGTAAAAATTTCTTTGCAGTAAGCACAGTTTTATATATAGAATGTTGTAACACTTTTTTAATTTGTCAATTTGCTTTTATTTACTTTTACATAATTATTTACTATTACTAACAGTTTCTTTGGGATAATCTATTTAAAGAGGAAATTATAAATACCTCTATAAGGAATCGTCATATATTTATGCTTTAATAAAACTTATTATACTGGTGAAGTGTCTGGTTAGCACTGACAGAAAATCTTAAGTCAAAAGTCAAAACAAAGTACATTTATTTTCCCGAGATAAAAAAAGACATCTATAGAAATATTTCTCCAGATATTTTCTCATATGTTGCTTGGATTATCTATCAAACCATACATATAGTCTCAATTTATTACTATTGTTATCTATACTAATATAATAAAGAGGTAATGTTTGTATGTACAGGTAACCCCCGTATAACACGGCACTTCTATAGCACGGATTCGCTCTAACACGGTTCATCCCCCGTATAACACGGTACTTTTATAGCACGGATTCACTCTGACACGGTTCGAGAATTGGGTAAAACCCTCGAACAACAGGAAATGTAATAAATTTTTACATACTTAAGTAATAATAGTTCACGAAAATTATTATTTTCGTGAACTATTAGTACTTAAGTATGTAAATTTGCTTTTCTCGCCTTCTGTCGATACACGTGGTCCTTCTCGAAACTTGTTTCAATGTTGCCAGATCGCGACGCTTCTGCTTCTGATGTTGCCGAATGTTTTTCCCTTATTCCATACTTGCTTTATTCTTCATAAGTGCTTAGCACCATATAAGGAAATTTATAAAGACCTTTTAACTAGAAGCAAGCAATCTAAAATTACATACATTTTGCAAAAGGTAAAGCATGGATCTGAAGATAATGCAGAAAAATGCTCAGAGGATAAGGATAACTTGCCAAAAAGAAAATGCTCTCGGTTAATTAATAGTATTTTTAGTGATGACGAAGAAACATTGTTTAATTTATATTAATATGTATCACTTAAAAAAATTTTAATGAAGATATTTATCTTAATTATGAAAATATACTAGCATGTTTTTTAATTTTTGGAACCTAACCCTTCTTTTCGTATTAGTTCTTTGTTTCTTATAACACGGATTCGCATAACACGGCAATTTTTTGGAACGTAACTACCGTGTTATACGGGGGTTACCTGTATGTTAGTTTGGATGTAGCGGGTAATCTCCAAAACTACTCATTTGATTTAAAAAATTTTTTTACCAATATTTAGAATGGAACTTCAGAGTGGACATAGGCTGTATATTATTCCGTTAAACATGTGAGATGGATAGTTCTTTACGGTAAGCCTTACGGGGAAGGCTTACCGTAAAGAACTCTGCTTCTACTTATACTATTTTAGATGCGGGTTTTTGCGCTTTTGATTGCGTTTTAATAGGGTACGTCAACAGAATGTACACTAATAAGGAATTTTTCGATATTTTCCCCGCGGGGGAGAAGGACAAGATTAAGGCTTACTGTGAAAAACTTGGCTTCTATTATACTATTTTAGATGCGGGTTTTTGCGCTTTTGATTGCGTTTTAATAGGGTACGTCAAGAGAATGTACACTAAGAAAAAATTTTTTGAAAAATTTTCCCCCACGAGGGAAGTGTTATACATTTATAATAGATACATTTTGAGCCACAACAAGGCGTGGCGGGGTCTGCTAGTACTATATATATTAGTAATACGCTAATATATTTTTTCACCTTGTGATTACTAAAATAGCGTTTGTCATGCCCATTATGGACTTGCCAAGTTCATAATGACAGGGTTTAAAGCAGTCATGGCAGTGAAAAAAAAGTGAAAAAAGAGTGTCTACATTGAAAAAAGCTGAAAACGCTAATAGTGATAAAGTGAACTATAACAGGCATGATTAAAAACACACACATTTTGTATCAATAGCTTTTAATTGGACTGAAAAAATTAAATATGAAAATAATTAGGCTAAGTTAAAAGTGACCAGTAAGACTGCATTAAGCCAGAACGGGCCTGCATTTAGTTTTCATGTGCCCCGTACGGAGTTCCTACCGTTATACAGCAAAGGAAATGGAAGAGTAACATAACTACCAGAATGTGTCTCCATATAACATGTCAAATTGAAAATGCGATTTATTTCAAAATACATTTTTTGATTTCTTGTTAAAAAATTTGTAATTAAAGACGATTTTCTTTTGTTTAAGTCATGCTGCAGTTTCTGCACTTCTCTTGTTTTCTCCTGTTTATCACACTGAATTTTCTTCACACCAGAGTAAGCAATTCACTATAAAGTTTATGTATTAAAGGATCATTGCACTGAAAATGTCCAGTAAATTTTGTGAATAGTTCAGCACTAGATATTCCTAAATAGAGTTCAGCGTTGATGTTAGAACAATTTAATGACTGAGATTATCTTATATGAAACACTTCATTAAGCTGGTATTCTTGAGGAATGTGCTTTAGGAAGTATAATATGAGTCCTTCCCATTGTTCGATCAGTCACTTTACTGCAGGACCAAACATCAGTCATTTAGTTGATGAATAAATACTTCATAAATTTGTTGCAAAGCAAATTAAGTTTCTCCTGAATTTCTGTGTATTCATCCCACTTTAGAGGGCCACCCATCAAAAAAGCTGTGTTGCTATGATGAGATCACTATCTCCGCCCAACTCTTCCAGGCCTTTCAAAAAAACATTGTGGATTGTATGAATGCTGCAAGTCCCTATCTTGATGAGGCCTTTTTTGCGAGTTGTCAGAATTTCCTCATTTATGAGAGACAATACTTCTTAGTTTATGTTTGGTCCATTTCATCCAATCATCAGTAATTTATGGAAAGGTAGATATGAATTGTCAATTGCCAGAATTATTTTTGATTTAATTGTTTCGGCATCTGCATGCCCGAGACAGTAAATGAGGTCTGGAAATGCCTGCAGACAACTTCCTGTTGTTCTTCTAGCCAGTATCTAATCAGTATTTGCAGTTATTTTCTGTCTTATGATGAGCAATTGCATGTCTCATCATAAGAAATGCTATAATATGACCATTGTGCATCATCTACCATTTGATCAAAGAAATATGGGGCCAAAGATTCAGTGATTAAGTATCTCATTTTTTGATGTGACAATGAGAATTTTTTTGGAAGATTGTCTGCACACTTGGCATTGATTGTCTCCTTTAAATCATGATATAATGCAGATGAATNGGTTCTTAGTTCTTTGAATTTACGAAGAATGACTTAAATTTTTGTAACAGTTTTGTGAATTAAGTTAAATTAGTACAAAGGTCAGGTCATTCACAGAGATTAGATTTGAGATATGATCTTCACGAGGCGAAATTCCTTTTTTTAATTATATTGTGTGTTTTCTGTTTCTTTTAAATCATACTAACACGCGAAACGTTATTTTAACATAATGCTTCATTCAAATATTTTGTTTAGCAACGAACAGCTAAACATAAATAAAATGTGTCCTTTATAAGTTCACGAACAGATAAAGCTACTACTGGCAGTAGTATCAAATGGAAGTAGCTACGAAGAGCTAATTTGGGTGCAATACGATGTTGGAAGTAGCTATAACTATTCCTATAACAGTGACATTACCATCTTGTCTGTTTAGCTTCTTGGATACTTCCATTGTATGCGTTGAATAGTATGGCGATAACACAAATTTCCTAAAGCAAATCTATGAAAATATATATGAATAAAATCTGTTCTAAGAGATTAGATTATATTTGAAAAAGTATCATTAAGCAATAGACAGGATCAAAAAACTCTATGTAATACGTTTCTGTAATCCAACAAATGGTAGACGGACTCACAGCAAAATTTGCTGTGAGTCCGTCTACCATTTGTTGGATTACAGAGACGTATTACATAGAGATCTAATATACAGTAATCCAGTTATATAGTGAAGGATTAAAGATGTTTTTATTATATAACTTTTTAAATAAGGTTTACAGGTTTGATTTTAATTAACAAAATATAACTTTTTGTTTAGATTAACGAAATAATATAATGAACAACATAACGTTTATATATTTTTATGAGTCCATTTTTTACTTTGTTTACTTTTTTGGCTCCGTCAGCTCTGTTGGCACCAACAGTTCCTTTATTGCTCTACTACAGTGATTTAAAGACGCCACCTGTCATATCCATGACAGAAAAATCATGAAAAATTCAATTACTCTATTGGGTTCGAACTCGGATTCCATAAAGGAAAAATGCTGCCGTCTAAATTTTCTAGACCGTAAGTATTTTAAATGTTTACATTTATAATCTTAAACTTTCGATTTTTAGTTAAACAAAAGTGAGTTCTATTTCTAATCACCAGAAATTTATTGGAGATTATACAAGGTAATATCTGATATCTTGTTACGAATAACTTCATATTGTTGTGAATTAATCAAGAGAATAAATGTTTCGTTGCTAACATTTTCAATTACCAAACCAACAATACTTTCATTTTCCTCAAATTTAAATTCTCTTCTCACATTTTCAGGAAATTTCTTGTTTTTAATGATATATTTCATCGTGTAATATGATTCTGTTTCGTAGCAATAAATGCCAGAGAAAGAAATCTGTTTAAATGAAATCTTTCCTGCCAACATCATGTCAATCAGTTTCTGAATTTCTTTACGAAAATCATAATAATGTAATATTCTTGCATAAAAGTTTAAATCAAGAAATATGAAAATCAGTATTGTAGAATATGTGCAGGAACTGTAAAAATTCAGCAGTTTTTCCTCTATGGCTTTATACTTTTCCTGTTCTTTTGGTAATTTTATTACGAAGTTTGTGAATTTACATTCCTTTAAGAATTTTAGAATCCATTCTGAATATTCTAGATCAAAGTTTATATTTATATTCGAGCAAAGTTGTTTCCAGTTATTCTCACTTAATTCTCTATTAGCATCCATCAGGAAGTTCCAGTAGAATGTTCTACATTTGAAAACATTTTCCAAACCATATGGTAACTGAGATTTGTTTACGAAAGATAATATAAAAATCAGCATTGTGTTTGATATGAATCCACAATAGAATTGATATTGCTCACGTGTATAAATATACAATGCAACGAGAAATTCGTATAAGGTTCTGTGTACCAAGTCGTAAGTGATGTCACCATCTGTTGATACCGAGTAAACGGAAAGAATATGAAGTTTATGAATAAAAACTACTTCTTCTTCACTGAAATTGGCTTTCAACGTTTCGCATTTTAAAGGATAGGATGTGAGTAACTGCCCTAATTTGACTAATATATTTTCACCGATAAAAATTTCATCTTTTGAAACCTTATTCATTAAATCACCGTTTTCTTGTAAGCATTTCTCTATTAACATTTTAAATAATTTAACATAAAACATCGCCATCTTTTGCACCTGAAGATTTTCGCTATTAAATGCGCAGCAAATAAGATGCAGCATCAATGGACATTCAGCTAAATTACGCAGATAATCATGAATTTTTAATTGTTGTATAAGACTTCTGTACTCGACATCATTGTACTCTAGAAGCAACTTTACGTAAGTCTCTTGTTGTTTCGGAGAAAACCCACGAATGCAATATCTGGAATCGATATATTTGCGAATTTCTTCGGCATTATGTGAACGACTGGTGATTAATATGGTCATGTGCTGAGAAATTTCCACCGAGTCTGTATCGAGAAATTTCACTATGGCAGATTTATTTGGATACTCATCAAAGCCATCAAGAAGCAGCAGGAGGTTAAATTCGAAAGTATTAGATAAAGATTTAACTTCTGGGTCATGTAAAATGGCGTCTTTAATCCCTTCGTATTGAATTTCTTTGGAAGTATCGCATAAATTAAAGAGGACAACAGAAGAGAAGTAATTTAAATAATTATTTCTCTTCCCTTCTGTTTTCCAATCATGATCAATTTTCTTGCAAATGGTAGTTTTCCCGTAACCTGGTTCTCCGGTGAGAAGGATTGTTCGATGTCCATTTTTCTTTGTAAACATTTCTTCTATTGTGACGTTTTTAACCTTATTTTTTCCAAAGGAATCAGTTTCTTCGATTTGTAACATTACAAAATATTCATCAATTGGCTCATTATTGACATTAAACAAGAACATATTCTTATAGGAATGTAGTCTCTTGCTGTTTTCCATTCGGTTTACATGAGAATCTCCTATAAAAATAAAATATATTTATATAAAATTATTTAAAACTTTAAATATAAATTTTAGGTTGATAAGAAGTATAAGAATTAATTGAAAAGTCAAAAAGTCATGGAAAGTTTAAAATGTTTTGTAGTTTTCTGAATTGCATATTGTTTTATTCAATTTGAATAAAATTAATGACAGGAAAGTAACACTTCCTACCACTTAGTGAAGGGTAAAGACGAAAAGTTAATTATTGGGAAAGGTACATAGAATACTGATAAATAGTCTGAATCTTATTGAAGAATAACATAAGTGTCCATTTTATTAATTATAATGTTTGGGTGGTATTCTATGTTTTTTATACATTTGTGCAGAGATTTAGATACATCTACTTCTCTAAATATGTTATAAAACTCTCAAAAGTAAAAATTTCTTTGCAGTAAGCACAGTTTTATATATAGAATGTTGTAACACTTTTTTAATTTGTCAATTTGCTTTTATTTACTTTTACATAATTATTTACTATTACTAACAGTTTCTTTGGGATAATCTATTTAAAGAGGAAATTATAAATACCTCTATAAGGAATCGTCATATATTTATGCTTTAATAAAACTTATTATACTGGTGAAGTGTCTGGTTAGCACTGACAGAAAATCTTAAGTCAAAAGTCAAAACAAAGTACATTTATTTTCCCGAGATAAAAAAAGACATCTATAGAAATATTTCTCCAGATATTTTCTCATATGTTGCTTGGATTATCTATCAAACCATACATATAGTCTCAATTTATTACTATTGTTATCTATACTAATATAATAAAGAGGTAATGTTTGTATGTACAGGTAACCCCCGTATAACACGGCACTTCTATAGCACGGATTCGCTCTAACACGGTTCGAGAATTGGTACCATCCCCCGTATAACACGGTACTTTTATAGCACGGATTCACTCTGACACGGTTCGAGAATTGGGTAAAACCCTCGAACAACAGGAAATGTAATAAATTTTTACATACTTAAGTAATAATAGTTCACGAAAATTATTATTTTCGTGAACTATTAGTA